GACATTGCCTTTGAAACAAAACGTGACCCAGTTCTGCAACACATCCTACGCTGGGTTGAACGGGGGTGCCGACAGACCAAATAGCACCGGAATGGGCGCCTTTCAAAAGCCGCCAAACCGAGCTGTTTTCCCAGAAAGGCTGTATCTTGTGGGGCGATCGAGTCGTAATCCCTAGCAAATTGCAACAAACTGTTTTGGCGGTATTGCATGAAGGACATCCGGGTATCGTGCGGATGAAAGCACTTACACACAGCTACGCTTGGTGGCCGGGAATCGACAAAAGAATCGAGGCCTGGGTCGCTACTTGTCAACGTTGCCAAGACGTCAGCAACGCTCCGCCTAAAGCAATCCCGACCGAATGGGAAACTCCGAGGGGACCATGGTCCCGTATTCATATTGACTTTGCGGGGCCTACCAAAGGACACACTTTCCTTATTACTGTCGACGCCTATTCGAATTGGCTCGAGATCCATCGAATGAACACAACTACAACGGACTCAGTTATCAATAAATTAAACAGACTATTTGCCACACATGGGTTCCCAGACGTGTTGGTCTCGGACAACGGCCCACAGTTTACTGAGTTACCCTTTGAACAATATCTTGCTGATCGGGGCATCCGCCATGCGCTAACCTCGCTCGCGCACCCTGCGGCCAATGGACGTGCAGAACGCATGGTACAATTTGTAAAAAAGACCCTTCACAAAATGGAATTCGGCAACATCGACGAGAAAATCAATCGAATTCTCTTGTTACAGCATATCACGCCCCACAGCGTGACCAACAAAACACCCGCTGAACTTCTTATGGGGCAGAAACTACGATCGCACCTTGACCGGCTCCACCCTGCATTCACACCAGAAAAGCCCTTCGGCTCCAGCAGCAAATGCCGGGAATTTAAGGTAGGCGATTTAATCTTTGCCAAAAACTTTTCCGGCGACCCGTTGTGGATACCCGCAACCGTTACCCACCTCACCGGGCCTAGATCTTACCGCCTGCTAACAGACGATGGGAGGGTGTGGAAACGCCACATAGACCAACTCCGATCGAGATTACCACCCAGCGCCCATGACTCCCCGGGTTCACCAACTCAAGGGGGAGGAAATATCGAGGGAATTGACTTTGATATGACAAATAGCAGGCCAACGGAAACCCTACGGCCCAGCGAGACACCGGAACGTGAAGCGGGGAGGGAGTTGACTTTTTCAGGGAACTTTAATACGGGAGAAACCGAACTGCAAAACCCCGAAGAAACACGGAGTAGCGGAGACAACCAGAGTGAAAGCAGCACGGAATCACCGTGCAGCGAAACAGAATTTAATAAAGATCATCCAAACGCTCCACCAGAACCGGACCTCAGACCAAAACCGGTGGAGCCTCGGAAATCATCCAGACAGACCAAACGGCCTGTCTATCTTGAGGATTTTATTACAGCTCCCCTCAAACGGAACCCAAGGGGGAGGGGTGTTGTGAATCAATAAAAGTTAATAACTTAAATGCAAATCAGGGTTTGAAAACCTGCACACTTGATTGGTCCTTATACAACAACTTGGATTGGGCCAGAACTAGTCCCTGATTGGCCACTATTTGGACTATTCTTATTGGTTATTAGTTTGAACTTGTTGCTCATCTCATTGGTTAACAAGGTAGCAGCTAACCCTATAAAAGGGTTACTGCTGCCCATAGCCTTGCTCTGTTCTGTTCTATTTACTGTTATTAAAGAGTTGAAGTCACTGGTCAGATGTCTGGTCTCCATTATTCTCCATACCTAACAATTTCTTTTTGCAGCTTCTACCTTTCTTGGTTCAAAGCCCCACCGCTGTCAAAAGTAATTCATGCCTTTTTTTCCTCCTTTCTCTTCACTGCTTTAAATCCTTCCTTAAAGATTATTGAAAAAATTAATCCTGGGGGTATTTTCCATTTAACTATATCATCCCGTTCCTCCTGCTGTTTGCTTCTTTCTCTCTCCAGCACAATCTTATTCCGGCTTAATCTCCCCCCTCAGGGTGGCCACTTTAGACCACCGCTTCAGACGGCTTTGGGAGGGAGCAGTTCCCAAGCCAGGGAAGGGATTTGCGACTCCCCTGATGGTCTCCCCTTCCTCTGCCACCCCTACAAGGTGGCTTCTGCCCCAAATCTGACCAATTGGGGCTCTCCGATGCTGAAGCACGGACCAAAGCCATGGACAATAGCGGTTAGTGGTCCGTCTTCAGGGAAGTTCAAAACCAGATCACTTTTCATTCTTCTTGAAATGTTATAAGGAATTAACACAATGATAACATTCTGATCTGTATTTGTCCTATTACTGTAAGCTAGAAAAGGGAAAATGTATACTTTTAATAACAACAAAATCTTAGATTCAATAAATAGTGCACAAGAACCACCATCAAACTGTTAAAGTAATCACAGTCTTTTCAGATTTGTGCAGATCCTTCAAAGGCTGTTGGGGTCTCTGCATGTGTGTGCTTCACATTAAAGATGGCCCCAATGGAAACATTCTCTGTGAATATACAAACAGCTAGGAACAACTGTCAAAGCATTATTGAATAACCTATATGCACAATTATGTCCATTTTGTAGCTACCTTGTGATAACATATGTTGTAAAGTGCATTATTATAAAAACAGATTATTATGGGACTGATTTTCTTAAAACTTTCATTTTCAGTGATAAGTACAATATTATTTTCATTATGTATTGCACGCACTTATGCTTTTAAGCTTGTTATTTGATTTTAAAATTAGAATTCCTTGTTTATACTCTCTGTATAGTGAGCAAATCAATTCTTTTTATAAGCAGAAATAGGGCTAATAAAAATATGTATAGTTTTATAACAAAATAAACAAATGATCAGAAAGGACAATATCAAATAACTACAGAAGGTGAAAAAAAAGAATGGAACACACAATCTTTACCCTCAGGAGTTATAAGTTTATACAAGCATTACTTTATAAAGTCACTGTAAAACAATTTATGGTATTGTGATATGCTTAAAATATCAGAGGAAGAGGAAACAGTTAAGGAGAGCATGATAACATGGGCTAAAAATTGTGGCCACAATATTGAATTAGAACAATGGGAACGAATTTGGTGAACTAACTATAAATTAATGTTATCAGTCTCATATAAAGAAAATATTTATAAAATGTTCTATCGCTGGCATCTCCCACCAGCAAGACTTGCTAGGATGTTCCCTAATATGTCACCCTAATGTTGGAAATGTAACTTTAGCCAGGAAACGTATTTTCACATGTGGTGGAAATGTTCTAAAGCCCAAAAGATACAGACATGGTTAGAAGAGATGACAAAACTAAAGGTTAAATTCAACCCAGAGACTTTTCTACTTGGAATGACAGAACCGACACGGAGCAAAAAACACCAGCTTCTGATATCATATATCATTACAGCGGCAAGGATAGTCTTTGCCCAAAACTGGAAATCAACAATGACCCCCACAGATCTGGCAATAACTAATAAAATCCACCAATGTGCAGAAATGATTAGACTAACCATGTTACTAAAAAATAAGGAAGAGGGGGAGTTTTTTACAACTTGGAATATATGGTACAAATGGTTGTATAAAAAGGAAGTAAAGATGTCTAGTGAGACCAATTAAACAAACAACAAGGGAAAATGGAAATAAGGATAAATTTATATATAGCTATGTATATACGTAAAGTAATATAATTAAATAAATATTGTATTATAATTGTAATAATAACCAAAAAAAAGCAAGGATCTAGGAAACAAGTTATAGATTTACTTGTAACAAATGACTTTAATTGACACTTAGAAATGTACACTTCTATGAAAAGGTTGCAAAAATGTGAGAACATGTTTCTCTTTTTTTTTAAATATATTCTTTTTTTTTAAACTTTCAATAAACATATCTATATATCTATATCTATATCTATATCTATATATCTATATCTATATATCTATATCTATATATCTATATCTATATATCTATATATATATATCTATATATATATATCTATATCTATCTATCTATCTATCTATCTATATATCTCTATATATATATCAGTTGTACACTTATTCTTCTACACCAATAACATGATCTTCATATCAGACATTACCAAATATGAATATGTTAGTAACACAAAATGAAGTGCTCATATACTACTTAAAATATATAAATACAATGAATTATTAATACTGCTATAAAAACAACACAAGATAATATAAACTTCATTTGGGATTTTATTTATTATTAAGTGCAACAAAAGATACTTTTATTGGAATGTGCTATAGGACTCTCTACCAACAGACATCAGGAGAAAGAGCCCTGAATGAAGCATCTTCATATAAGTTTGGTTTGTATTTTAGAAAAGAAAGATAAAAGAAGCAGTACAATTACTGCATGATACTTAACCTTGATGCTTTGATAAGCTATTGAAAGAATCTCCTTGTTAATGGAATATCACCTGATATTATCAACATATAAAATAAAAACATTGTTTATATTACAATCTTCTTTTATACCATTTCATTCACATTTCAAAGGACAGCTGTGTGATGGGTTACAGGGGCATAAATGTATACATTTGACTCAAAATAAATTTATTTCCAAGTTATACTAATAAAAAATATTGTACCACTAGTATATAGAAAAAGTGAGCTCTATTATCAATATTAAGTGCAAATTCAGATACTGTTTCAATTCTATTAAACTCCCTTCTCCCTTCTCCCAATATATACAAATTGCTCATATATATGAAGGGGGGGGGATAGCAACATTACCTTATTTTGCTCAAAATAAGAAAAGCAAAGGAGTATAAATTCTGAACATGTGATTTATTTGATATGAGATCAATACTCTCTACTGTCTATATTTTTATGAATATCTGTCTATATTTTATGAATATTAATTTAAAGTTCAATAATAGAGAGACATATCTAAATTGTTTTGGTTTGAGGCATACCCATGTGAAAGTAGTTCATCATTACAATATCACTATAATTTCAATTGCTTAGCTTACCTGCCATTGCCTCGTTAGCTCCTGTACTCCTTGAGCATCTTCTACAATTGTCTCTTTACATGTAGCATCCTGTAGGATATTGGCAGTGGTTTCTGCTTCTGTAAGCCAAGCAAGAAACTGTTCCAGATCTAAGTAGAATTGTTGCAAAAGCCTTAGGGCTGCTTCCAATGAAGCCTCTCGCTCTCCAACACTGTGAAAGTGCAAACATAGTTACATGATGATGAGTAACTGGGATCCACAGCGGTTCATTCACTCTAATAGACAGAGAGTATAGGATAAATTTTCAGTAATACTGTGATGAAATTTGAAATAAACTTTATGCATAGGTGTCACAAATCCTTGTAACTAATGTTTCCTTCTGAAACCACTATTACAACTAATTCCTACCCTTTTGCAAAGGGAAAATAGAAGTGGCTATTTAGTGACATTTTCATTCTTAATGGACAGTTATGGTTCTACAGAAGTGAACATGACAATTTTTACTATTATAATTTGAAACAAGCTCCTTAATCACAGGTGTCACTATTTCCAAATTCTATATAAACCTATTAAGAGAAGTCAAATAAAGAATTTCTCAACCACTGACTAGTTATAATTTACTGAAACCTAATAAATTTTAGGGTTAGGAAGTATGATCTTATCTGTTGATCACAGTTGACTACATTTTTTTTTAAAAAAAATAACTTTAAAAATATATATGCATATGTGTATATATACACACATACAGGAAAGAAGAAGAAACAAAAAATATAGAATCAGGTGAGTGTCAAGAAGTTTACAACTCTAGTTGGAATCCTAGGATAACCCTAACTAGTTTATTTTATCATTTTAGCCATTGTCTATCCACTACAGGATAAAGGCATCTTCTGCATGTGTCAGCTGGTGCTCCATTCAAAATCCAAGAAAGAAATACTTAGACTCCATTAATTAGAGAAAAGATATCTTTTACTGGAAATAAAGTGGCAGCATCAAAGGAATTCTGAATCTGAGAAAATGAGTGCGTAAATCACATATACAAAGAGTTGGCAACGTTCCCACCCACAATAGTTCAAACTGTCCATCCAATAAAAAGTTGTATATAATGTCATGTGGGCATCTCCAGGTGGTGATGAGGCCTCTGTCCGTTGACCTTGACATATTTTGATAAAGAGCAGTGCTTGCGCATAGCATAGGAAAGAAACATACGCAAGAAATTTCCTCCCCAACTTATACAGTTCTTTTTTGTAAAACCTCCAGCTCGCTTCCCATAACTATGTCCCCCCTCCTCCTCCCATTACTTATGACAGCCAAAAGATGCAAAGCAAAAGAAGCAAATCTTGAAGGCTGACATTTGACCCTCCTGCAAAAGAGGCATTAGCCCTATAAAAGAAAAAGAATACAAGATAAAAGAATAATATACCTGTAACACAACAATACTATATTTTAGGGTTTGTCAGAATATTTAGTACGAAACGCCTTGATAAGATTAGGAGCTCGAACATCCTTCTCATTCACCCATTCGGACTGGGAAGGAGTAAAATGTTTGGAAAATATTGGAGTCGACCTCTTTGTTTCCTAGAATCCAAAATTTCTTTAACTTCAAAATGTCGTTCACCTTCAATTAACAAAGGCACAGGGAGATCAACCTGAGCTGGCCTCAGGTCAGAGGTATGTTCAGGTTTTAATAAACTAACATGGAAGACAGGGTGGATTTGTCGGAGGGTTTTTGGTAATTTCAGTTAGACTGCCACAGGATTCACAATTCGTTCAATTGGAAAAGGTCCAACATACTTAGGTCCATGCTTTTTTGACTTTTGTGTGGTCTGCAAATATCTGGTGGATAAGAAGACCTTATCTCCAACCTGATATTGTTTTTGTGGAGCTCTCTTTTGTCTGCAAATTTTTTTGAGCTTGATGAGCATCATCCAATGCTTTACAGGTAACTGGCCAAGTAAGCTGGAGTTGGGTTATCCACTCACTTAATGACTGAACACTAGGTTTCTCCTGTGGTAGCTCAGGTATGGGTACAAAGTCTTGTCCTGAAGCCACTTTAAATGGAGTAAACCCAGTACTACTATGAACCAAATTGTTATATGCCACCTCAGCGAATGGCAATAGGTCAGCTTATAATTTATATAGCATCTAAGATATTGTTCCGATACCGAGTTAGTTCTCTCACAAGCCCCATTGGTTTGTGGGTGGTGGGCTGAGCTTAAGCCCTGGGTGGACCCCAATAACTTAAGGAACTCCTTCCAAAAGTTTGAGGTAAACTGGACACCCCTATCTGAGATTATGCATTCAGGAACACCATGTAACCTGTAGACATGTAAAATAAACAGTTTAGCCAAAGTTTTCGCAGATGGGATTTTTGCACAAGGTATGAAGTGTACCTGTTTGGAAAACAAGTCTGTTACTATCCAAATAACTGTATTTCCCCCTCTCTTAGGTAATTCCACTATAAAATCCATAGAAATTTCTTTCTATGGAGCAGTTGGATGGAGCTACAGCAAATGTATGGAGCTACATTTTGTAGCAAGCCCACTGGTTTACCAGGAGGCCGTTTGGCTGAGGCACAGATAGGGCAACTAGCCACATAAGTTTTAATGTCCTTTTTCAAGGTGGGCCACCAAAATTGCCTTTTAACCAAGTGTAAGGTCTTTACGAATCCAAAATGTCCAGCAGCTTTAGAGTCATGAGCTTGCTGTAATATTTGGTTTCTCAACTTTGCTGGCACATATAATTTGGCCCCCACCCATGCCAATCTATCTCTAACCATACAGTTATTTGAGTGAGCCAGGAACCAATCATCAAGTTTCAGAGCTTCTTTTAACTGTGCAGATAAATCATTTGATATTTGAATTTCCCTTTTTCTGAGTTCTGGTAACCACTGGAGCCGCCAACTGTTTGGTTGGGACAATAGGCCGGACCACTTCAGGGTGGGCACTATTATATTGAGGTAATCTAGATAAAGCATCTGCCATGACCCCCCCCCCCCCCCGGAATGTACTTCAATGAAAAATTAAAGCGTTTGAAGTACTGCGCCCAGCGAACTTGCTTGGGAGATAGCTTCCGAGGCATTTTCAGAGCCTCCAAATTCTTATGATCTGTCCACACCTCAAAGGGTGTTTTTCCCTTCTAGAAAATGTCTCCAGGTAACAGAGCCCAGCGAACTGCAAAAGCTTCTTTTTCCCAGATGGTTCATTTTCTTTTGGTCTCAGTTAGTTTACGGGACATATATGCACATGGCTGCAGAGTCCCCATTTCATTTGCTTGTAGTAACACCGCTTCCACTGCTACGTCACTCACATCGGCTTGGATTACAAAAGAGGTGTCCATGTCCGGGTGCTTGAGCACCTGCTCAGTGGCAAAAAGTCATTTCAGTTCTCAAAAGCGGCTTGGCACTCCATGGACCACTCCAATGGTTTACTAGGTTTCGGTTTCACCTCCCCTTTGGTTTTTAGGAAATTTGTAATAGGCAGTGCAATCTTTGCAAAAGCAGGAATAAACTGATGGTAAAAATTAGCAAATCCCAAGAAACTCTGCAGTTGTTTCCTGGTGCGGGGAGGGGCCCATTCCAAAACGGTGTGAACTTTCCCTGGATCCATTTCTATGCTGTCATGTGATATGCAATAGCCTAAATAATCTTTTTTTTTTCCTGGTGGAATTCACACTTGAACAATTTCATGTATAGTTCAGCAGCTCAAAGTTTTTCCAGAACTGAATGCACTAGCTTCACATGTTTATCACGAGTCTCAGTATAGATAAGAATATCATCAAGATAAACCAGCACCCCCTTGCATAAATGTTTGTGCAAAACCCGATTTATCATTTGCATGAAAACTGCAGGGGCCCCCTGTAGGCCAAACGGAAGAATGTTGAACTGGAAACACCCCATTGGGCAGTTAAAAGCAGTTTTCCATTCATCTCCTTCCTTAATTCGAACTCGGTAGTAAGCTTCTCTCAGATCAAGTTTTGTAAAAATTTTCTCTTTGGCTAAGTGGGCCAACATGTCCTTCATCAAGGGGAGGGGGTACACGTTCTCCACCGAAATGGCAGTTAAATTCCTATAATCCACACACAAACAAAGAGAGCCATCTTTCTTCTCATGGAATAATACTTGGGCCGCTACTCGAGGCCTAGCAGGTTGTATGAAACCATGTTCCAAATTTTTATCAATAAATGACCACAGCTCTTCTAGCTCCCGTGGTGTCATCGAGTACAGTTTTGGTTTTGGGAGTTTCACTCCTGGCAAAATTTCAATATCACAATCTGTTGACCGGGGGGGGGGGGGGGGAGAGATCATCCGAGGCCTTCTCACTGAATACGTCCTTTAAATCCCAATATTCTTCAGGAATTTTATCCTCCCCCTTCAGATTCTCAGTGCCAGTGGAAGCCAGATCTGTGGGATTCTGGGGTTTCTGTTGAAATTGCCCCTTCCCTTCTGGGGGTTGGTCAGTACGTATGCGCAGTGATCCCCTCCTCCAGTCAACTTGGGGGTTCCATTTCCGGAGCCAGGGCAAACCCAGTAGTAGGGGGCGCTCCATCCCAGGGGCAACAATAAAACACAAAGTCTCTCTATGCTTCCCCATTGTCATTTCTACTGGTTCCATTATGAAATGTGCAGGGCCTCCCCCAGCTACTGATCCATCCAGTTGGCAAAAGGCTATGGGCTTTTTAAAAGTCTTTAGCCTTAAACCCATTTTCTCTACAACTTCTGAGCTGATTACACACCTTGTGCACCCAGAGTCTAACAAGGCCAACATTTCCCCTTGGGCTCCCGACGTGGGTACTCTTAATCTCACTGGGATGGTCATAGGGCCCTTGTTTGGATTTACCAGTGAGTCATCTTCCAATTCAGATTCACTCTCTTCAGAAGAGACTGGAGTTCCCAGCTCCTCTCCTTTCAGAGGGGCGATCTCTACAACCTCTTCCGCTTTAAGAGCCATTTTGCAAGGCTTTACTGGAGTTTTTTCAGGTTTTCTTCCTCCTTCAGGTGCTCCCTTTTTCTCCAGCTTGGTATGACAATCTGCAGCCCGGTGACCTTCCTTCCCACATCGGAAGCATGCCTTGGGCTTTGCTGCCGGCCCTCCCTTTTGAGGTTTTGAGGCTTCTCAAGGGCTGGTGGGGGATGACTTGCTCCAACTGAGGCCACCCCACATCTGTTTCGGGTCAAATCAATTTCCACTTCTGCTGCCAGCACGTACCACAGCT